CCACTCACCTCAACCTCCCAAAGGCGCGGGATTACAGGCTGAGCCACCGAGCCCGGCCGCCTTAGCCTTCTAAGTAGCTGAAACTACAGGCGTGTGCTACCATGCCCAACTATTTTTTTTTATTTATTGTAGGGATGAGGTTTCACCATGTTGCCTAGGCTAGTCTCAAACCCATGGGCTCAAGCAATCCTCCACCTCCACCTCCCAAAGTGCTGGGATTGCAGGTGTGAGCCATCTCAAGCTCCTTTGTTTTTAAATAAACATTTATTATAGGAAAAAAGTACTTAGTTCTTCCATGGGTTTTTTGCACCAGACTAAAGCCATTCACAAAGTGCTGGTTAAAGAGAGCGATGTCAGCATAAAAACATAATTCCCTCTCGTCAGTGTATGGGTTGCATTAGAACTCTCCTTTCTGGGGCCAGCGTTCTGTGTATCTAAATTTTTTAAATTTAAAATGTCATATTTATGACATTTTAAAAGTATAAAGAAGAATAATACATATTATGCAACTTCAAAAATAAAACTTTGCCAACACAACTGTGTGAGGCTGGACTCAAACTCCTAGGCTCAAGTGGTCTTCCCACCTCAGCCTCCTGAATCACCGCACCTGGCCTACGTATACTTTAAAAACTATATTCAAAACACCATCTCTAAATAAGGACAATGAATTCTGAAAATCTTGAGGAACATTCTGAAAAGCTTTATATATACGTGAGATACTTCCTAGCTAAATTCCTTTGCTCAGAACTTTGGCTTACCCAGGATACTGAGTGAATACATGTTGCATGAATGCCACCACAAAGAATGGAAGCCAAAGTGCTAGAAAGGTGGACTAGAAAAAACAAACAACGTTGTGTGGCATGGGGAGAGAGCAATTATACCTAGTATGTGAGAAAGTTGTGCAAGAATGGGCCTCTGACACCAAGTGAACCTTTTGGGAAGCTTTTGATTGGCAACTAAGATTCTGGAATTGGTAAATGAAACAATTAAGTATTTATACATATGTATACATTTTATAGCATACGTATTTAATTCTGCTTTGAGACTGCTTCATTAAGTTCAATGTTAAAAGAACAAACTTCATTCATAGTAAAGCAATTGCAAATTAAAACCAAAATGATATCCCACATTTTACCTATCAGATTGGCAAAGTTCAAAATGTTTACCATTGTTTGGTGAAGGTGTAGAGAAACAGATACTCATTCATCAGTGGTGGGAATATAAATTGTTATAACCTCTATGGAGAACATTCTGGCACTACCTATCAAATTTATAAATATGGCTGGGCACAGTGGCCCAGCCTATAATCCCAGCACTTTGGGAGGCGGAGGCAAAGAGGATTCCCTGAGCCCAGGGGTTTGAGATCAGCCTGGACAACTTGGTGAGACCTCGTCTCTACAGTAAATCAAAAAATTAGCCAGGCATGGTAGCACACGCCTGTAGTTCCAGCTACTTGGAAGGCTGAGGCGGAAAGATCGCCTGAGCCCAGCAGTTTGAGGCTGTGGTGGCCGTGAGCATGCTACTGCACTTCAGCATAGGTAACAGAGTGAGACTCTGCCTCAAAAGTAAAGCATGAAATAAAATACATAGGGTTACAAAGGACATCAACTATACTGAAATACACTAATCAAAAGTTTTTAACACTGGGTACAGTGGTTCACACCTGTAATCCCAGCACTTTGGGAGCCAGAGACAGGAGGATTGCCTGAGCCCAGGAGTTCAAGACCAGCTTGAGTAACATGGCAAGACCTCATCTCTACAATAAATCAAAATATTAGCTGGGTGTGGTGGTGTGCGCCTGTAATTACAGCTATTTGGAAGGCTGAGGCAGAAGGATCACCTGAACCCAGCAGGCTGAAGCTGCAGTAGCTGTGATTGTACCACTGCATTCCAGCCCGGGAGACAGAGTGAGACTCCAACTCAAAAAGAAGTCTTTAAATTGTAATGTGCCTAATTAATATATTAAATAATACCTAATGGTAGCACTAAAAACCACTGTGATTTTGTAATAATGAATATCAGTGGTATTTTATCTGCATTAACTGAAATCTATGTGATTTCTTTTGGCGACACAGTCACAGATACTGCTAATACATCTGCAGTTTATTACATGCATTCATAATGAAATATTATATTCCAGCTATGGGGTAAT